GATGGAGAGCATGGCCCCTGGGGAGCCTGGCCCCTGGGGTAAGGGGAGATGGAGAGCATGGCCCCTGGGGAGCCTGGCCCCTGGGGTAAGAGGAGGTGGGGAGCCTGGCCCCTGGGGAGCCTGGCCCCTGGGGTAAGGGGAGATGGGGAGCCTGGCCCCTGGGGTAAGAGGAGATGGGGAGCCTGGCCCCTGGGGAGCATGGCCCCTGGGGAGCAGGGCCCTGGGGTAAGGGGAGATGGGGAGTATAGCCAGGATGCAGAGCAGAGCAGGGGCTGGAGGGCATCAGACCCCCAGGAGTTGCGTGGGATCCCAGTGGCGACGCTGAACGGGAGATCTCTGCCTGCAGGTGCCCGAGCTGGAGAAAGCCACTGTCCGCATACAGCAGCCGGAGCGTGTGATGGGGATAATCCGGTCCATCAAGGAGCAGGGGATGAACAAGCTGCAGGTACTGGCCCTGTTTGGCTCCAGCTGTGGCAGCCCAGCTGAGAGCGGGTGATGCATTGCTGTCATGCTTGGTCCCTGTCTTCAGCTGCCCCCCCCCCTTCCTCAGCCTCCCCGGCCATCGCTTGGCTGCTCCAACCCACCCGCAAGGAAGCCCCTTCTGCACGTTTTGCGGATGGAGGGGGGTGGGACCAGGCTATTTTTCCCATCAATGCCCAGGCTGGTGGCTCTCCCTGGATGAGCCTTTTTCTTCCCTGTTATGCAAGCTATAAATATGAGCAATACCCAAACACCACCCCCCTCCACCCATGGCAATAAGTCAGCAGGATTAAGCCTTTTGGTACTGATAAGAGTGCTGGGGTGGGAGGGGTGCTGGCTGTCTCAGATGAGGACATCTGCTTCGCAGCTGGCAGGAGTGTCAGCGTTCGTTGCTGCTGTGCCCTGCTGTGAGTCTGCACCCTCACGTGAGACGCACCGGCGCTGGATTTGCATCCTTGCAGGCAGCAGCACCCTTGGCTAGCTATGGCAAAGGTAGAGAGTGCTGGGTCACATTCAAATTTGCTCTTCTCTCGCCTTCCAGGTCATTTCTGACTTCGACATGACGCTGAGCAGGTTTGGGTGCAACGGCAGACGCTGCCCCACTTCGCACAGTGAGTTGAAGCCATTGTTTTTACTGTTGCTAATTCTGTTTTCTGTGTTTGTGTTCTCAGTCTCTGTGGCTCCCGTTATCCTCCTTTGCCAAGCCTGACCGCCCTGTCTTGTTCTCTCTCGGTGCAGCCCTGGGCCTTGGCTCCCTGCAGCAGCGGCTGCTGGCCCCCGGGCAGCCCACAGCCCGCTGCAGAAGCTGTCTCCTGGTCTTGCTGCTTCTCCTTCCAGTACTTGCCTCCTTTAGCCTGCTAGTGTTGGTGCTGGTCTCTCCCAGCTGAGCAATGCCCTCCGATCAGCACATGCTGCAGGTTCACAGTGGGAGCCGCTGTGCTGAGACCCCGCGGCGAGCCTGTGCTCGGGTCAACGTGCCACACACGGCTCATTTTTGGGCAGAGCTGGCACTGGAGATGCGGGATAGCTGCCTTTTAGGAAACCTTTTTGTGTTTCTGGGCTACAACACTGGCATTTTATTGTCTTTACAGATATCCTTGATAACAGTCATGTTATCAGTGAGGACGGCAAGAAGAAGGTAGGTGCTGTTTTGTAAGGCACTGCTTCTTGGCTCTGTGGTTTTTGTCCCTATCGCCCATCAGCGGGAGGTTGCACGTGTGACAGCTCTCCAAGCTGCGCCTTGCTGCCAGGACAGAGAGTGGGGCGAGTGTCCAGGCTGCGTTTCAGCCAGTGGGGACGGAAGGAGAAGTTAAAAAGGGAGATTTAATTTGCATTTTTGGTCTGATAAGAGGAGGAAGGGTGTATGTGTGTGCATCTGTACGTGTGCTATTTGAAGCGAGGTGAGAGTCAACCGGGCTGCCGGAGGGCTAACGCTTCCTTCCACGATCTCCAGGTTTGCTCAGAGTGAAGTTGCTTAGCGAAACGCGTTTGGTTGTGTTTTTCATTAGGAAGTGTGGTGCTTTGGAGGAATTCAGAAATGCTTTTTTGGTTGTTTACAGTCTCTTTAGATGTGATGTTCACTCTTGTTCTTTCTCCATCTGTACAACACTCCAGCTGAAAGACCTGCTGCACTATTACTATCCCATTGAAATCGATCCCAACCGGACCCTGGAAGAGAAACGTCCCCTCATGGTGGAGTGGTGAGTGCTTGTGATGAGCTTGAGCTTGTCCTGGCAACTTCTTGCCCCTGAGGACTACAAGACACAAGGCTTGAGCTGTCTCTAGGCTTGGCAGCAATACCGGCAAGTTTTAGTTATTATTTTTCTGAGTGCCTTAAGGTTGCTGCCCGGGAAGCTCACTTTGCTGCCTTTCCCTAGGTGGACCAGGGCCCACGAGCTGCTGTCGCAGCAGAAGATCCAGAAGGGAGACATAGCCCAGATAGTCAGAGAATCGGACGTGATGCTGAGGTACTGGCTCGGGGTTCAGTGTGCTGCCTGTGGCCCTTTCTCTCCTGCCACTGTGCAAGCAGGCGTCCTTGCTTTCACCCTGATCTGCGCGCCGTCTCCAAAGCGTGGCTGATGCAAATCTCCCTTCCTTCCTGGGGCCGAGCTCTAACCATGAAAGACCGAAAGTCAGCGCCATGAGCCGCAGCCTGAGCTCGCTCCCTCCTGCTCCGGACTCCTTCCTGCTCAGAAACCGCTTCCACGTCCCTTGAGTCTTGGCAAGGAGCGGCGGAGGGGACGGGTTATGGGCAGAGCTCCCTGAACGGCTCAGCAGAGCCCTCGCTGTTTGCAGGGCAGGGTAGGGCAGCAGCGTGCAGCTCCCGTCTTCCAGGAGAGATTTTCTCTCCGCTCACTATAGCTGCTGGGCCTTATCCAGGCCCTTGGCTGAGCATCAGATTTCACCCACAGCACAAAAATGTTGCACTAAAACTTGCTGTTAGGGCTGGCCTTGGCTGCGATGCTCCTAAAACCTGCTCAGGGAGCCTTGGTTTGAATGAGCTGCCAGTCTCACATGGTACCGTCTGTCTGGGTTTTCATCAACCCAAGTTCCTCTTCTGCATGGAAATTGTGTCCTGGCAGCCTGAGACTGTGACAAATTTATCTGATCGTTCTCACAGCCAGTCCGACCTGTTGCGCATCCCCAGCTATACAGTTTCTGAGCGGGCTGGCAGCACCCGCTCTCGTGGTTTTGTGCAGGCACGCTGTGCTTTGTGCCCCTGGTGAGAAGCTGGATGCATTCGGGAGATGCTGGGCGAATTGCTCGTGTGCTGCATGTTCCCATGCAGCTCCTCGCTAGGTCGCTGCTCCCAGGAAGGGTCTGGGGTTCTGCTGCACACCCCTTGCATGCACAGTGAATGCCACAGAAGTGCTGGTGCCACAAAAAGCTCACGGTTTTTGCAGAGCTCATGCATGCGTTTCTGTTTGGGAAGTCCCAGGTAGAAATTTGAGCCTCGTAGCTGGGCTGAGAGCACTCTCACGGTCCCACCATACAGCAGGCACCTTGCTGGGAGGTGGTAATGTAATACTGTGTAATGGACACTTCTGCTCTAGGGATGGATTCAATGAATTATTTGACCAGCTGCATAAGTACAACGTCCCCTTGTTCATCTTCTCGGCTGGCGTTGGTGACATCCTTGAAGAGATTATCCGTCAGGCCAACGTCTTCTACTCAAACGTCAACGTGGTGTCCAACTACATGGACTTCGACGATAACGTGAGTGTCTGCATCGCGAATGTGTGGGGAGCTGGCAGAGAGGAGAGTTGTTCGGCTGGCATTGAGGGCTGCAAGACGCTCAACAGAGACACTGTTAGGTTAAAAGCTGCCTATTAACGTTTCGAAGTGTTTGATCCCCGTAGATGGAGCTGACCCTTTGCTGGGTCACGGGAAAGCTCTAGAGGCTGGTTGGGGCCTCCCGCCCCG